TCGCTCCACTTGCAAGCGGCCCGACAGGCTTTCCGGAGTTCAAACCGAAGCGGGGCCATGAATTTCTGCCCGACAGTTGGCAGTCCTTGCACGGGTGCAAAATTGGTTTTATGGAGTATCGCACCTGTAAATGATGAGTTTACTTGTGGCTTCCCTTCAAAAATCTCTCGCTGATGTTCAAGTCACATTGTTCTTGGCGAACAGGTTCGTATTCTTGCTCTGTGCCGTTTCTTCCTTTAAGGTGGTAGTTGATTTTACGACTCTCTTGAACCGTATGCAATCCCACATGGACTTGTCTGTGTGTGGTGGGCGGGTGCACGTCGTTTGGGCATCTTGCCTCAAGGGATGCCCTCCAAAAGAAAGGACTCCCCACACCCATGGAGGGCCCATACTTTTCTCCCTAAGGGAGTCCAAAGGAAACCCAGTGCATGCCTGCCATGCTTGCCTTCTTCGCATCGCTCTACCAATCGGATATACCATGGAGCCAAAAGACAGAAATCGTCCACCGCTGGATGCTTTGGAAGTGTCGTGTGCCTGATGGCCTTCTGTTTGCCCATTTACCCACTCCCTCTGCGTTGATCACGGCCCCTAGACGCCAGTTATTGTGTTCAAGGGGCCCATTTGGCAGGTGCAGTTCGCCAAAAGACCACTTGTGTTTGGGATTCACTCCTGTGAAACTTGGGCACCACAACAGCGACTCTGACTCTTTGCCTGACTTGAAATGTGAAAGAAAATGCTGGTCTTGCTGCGGGCACTGCGGCAATTTTGCTGAGCTGGTCCGGGCAGCCAGGTCCTTCACTTGGACAACGAGCGGTGGTGATTCGCTCAGATTTCGAGTGCAAGCTGGGATCGCGATGTATGACTTCCTTTGCTCCGAGACTATTGCCACGAGCGTAACACTAGGCTTGGTGCTGACAAGTATGTGATTGAACCCTTGTTCCAAGTATGCCATTGCTTTGCCACTTCTGCTTGCATCACTCTCCAGAAGAGACATGAAGGTGTGGAAAGCTACCATGAGTCCGACTACTTGTTTGGAAGCCAAGGGCTGCAGTGATGCCAAGGGCTGGCGTTCTGCCAAGTCATAGCCATGGACTTGAAAGCCTGGCCTTTGACTGAAACCTCCTGCAATTTAGCAAGGAATCCAACCATGGGGTCCCCCAAACGGAGTCTCCCGTAAAGTTGGGGTCCTCATTGAGACTGGCAGATGAGGTCAAACGTGCCCATCATCATGAAGGCTGGCAAGAGCCTTGAGCGCAGGTCCACCATCGTGCCGAGGGCTGAGTCGGGCTTTGCGGCCTGGGATCCAGGTGAACATCAGACCCTGGCAACGTTCCTGTAAGACCGGTGTTGGATAGGGCTTCCGTAAACGTCCGAGTCTCCTAGGCAGGTAGGATCAGGTTCTAAGGTGTTCCTTGCTGAGAGGCATTGCAGAAGTTCCCCTCCTGGAAGCGATTTGGGATTTCTGGGGCCGGTGCCGTTGGCTGAGAAAGCCTCGCCACGCAAAAAATGATCCTTTTCCTCCACTATCAAACCAGATGCTATCCCAAAAGAGGCAGCCTGTGTGTCTCATGTGGGTGTTTCCTGACTAATTGCTGCACCCCCCCCCCCCGCACAATAGGTTACCTTGCTCCCCCTCAAAACCAACCAAACAGCACCAGTCCCTATGTCAGCACGGGCGCCTTGCCGAGGCGGTTGCAGTTCAAGAAGGCTCCTCCGAACAGCCTCTTTGGGGTCAGCGCCCCAGAGCTTCCCTGTGTTCCTTGGTGAGGTGGGTTGAACAGTTTGCCGGCATGAACGCTGTCCAATGCTCATGGGCAATGTCCAGGCACCTCAGCCGAGACAAGATCTTGCCCCAGCCATCGTTGCAAGTGTTGCTCACCAGTTCCACCCGAAAGCCGGCAACCTTACTGCCACAAGTGGCTAGACGACCCATAACTTTGTTGTTTCCTGGGAGCTTCAATCGGCAAAACCAAACGAGGGCTTGGCGTTCAGCGGTCGATGCCCAGGACCAGCCCCAGAATGAGCTGGTGATCCGAATCCAGCCGGATGAAGCCATCTACTACAGGACCTCGGGCTTCGCGGCTTCGCTTCATTATGGTTTTCATATGATTCCAGACACCCGCCCCCAATGTAGCTCATCGAAGCTGTTCCAGCCCATCGTCCAGGCCTGTGTCCTTTTTTCAACTCCAAAATGCTGAAAGTGCCCTTTTGCAAAGTAATTCCCAGACCCAACGCTTTTCCAAGAGAAGCTGCGCTGCGGGTTGCCAGGATCCTGGCCAAGACCCCAGGGCTCAGCGCCCGCGCGCACGAGGTCCAGCGCCCGACGCCTAAGAATGGGGGAGGGAAGCTCACCTCGCACTTGCCGTTTGTTTGGAGGGCGGTGTCCCGAGTTCTTTTGAACTTCTTGGGAAGGCCACTTGAGGGGCAACAGTTTGATCCTGATTTGGCCACTCCAGAAGGAAAGCGAATGGAGTCGCGGACAACCCACGGTTTGCGCGGCTGCGTGTCAAGGCCGGGAAGCGAGCTCTCCATGGGCCTTTTTCTTCCTTTGGTTTCGTGTTGGGAATTTTTGGGCCCCCAAATGGTCAACCAAGCATTGAACGCCAGTAGATGGAGGAAGTATCAACCGATCTGGGGAGCTATCAGGCCTTGGCAAGTGTGCAAACATCGATTGCCTGGCTTGTGGAGTAGAGCCGCTGACGCGGGCTCTTCATCCTGTGTAGACAGGTCTCGCTCATCTCGGATTGCTGCTAGGGCGGAAGCCACGAGTGGCGTTTGTGAGGGTGCTCTTCCAGTGGAAGGCCATAGCATACGCTAGGGAGGAATTTGTCTCAGTCTCTCCCTCCAGGAAGTACATTCAAGACTTCTGTCAGAGAAAATAGAAAACAATCTTTACAAAACTAGCGGTCTATTTTGCAGGGACACTCGTGCATCCCAGACGGGCATGCAACGAGTCTTTGGGTGACTTGGGGGGGAGGCTATCATGGGCTCGTTCTGCTAAGGGTTTAGACTCCCTTCGTCATGCCCTCTTGGTGGAGTCTTGGCACAACCAAGCATGGCTTTGTTTGCTCTTGGTCAAGGCTCTGGTCCCGGCCAACATGCCAAGGATGTTTTGCTGGGCCGTGAGTCTCAAAAGAACCACGCGTCAGTGGCAGGAAAAGGGTTCAATGAAATGAGTCCAACCCAACGTTTTAGCCTCATGCCCAAGGCGTAAGCCGGGTGTTGCGCAAAGTAGCAGAAAGTGAGTCGGAATTCACGAGATGCCTCGCGGAAGAAATGGTCTTTGATGAAGTCGCCGCAGAAACCTTGACCCCTATCGAGACATCGACATACGGCAGCTGCTATCATTCCCTTGCTTCCAAGCCAGCTGCCCAACGGAGCCCAGCTGCGAGGACGTTTTGGCCATGCCGAAATTATTGGCTCAAACTGGGTAGATTTTGACATTCTCCGGGTGTCCAGCGACTCTCGGCAAACCAATTGAAGCATTTTCGGAGTGTTGGGGCACTGTGGGGTAGGTACGGAGCAAACCAATGCTGCCCAAGTCATTTGCGGGTCTTGGCACGATGCTTTTACTGCGGTATACATTTGAGGTGTGCCTTGTCAACCACCCGTCCTTTCATGTGCCTTGCCGGATACCATGTGTGAGAGTTCTGCTGCGTCAGTGGCAGCAACTGGCTTGGCTCAACTGTAGGCCTGCATGGGGCAAAGGCGCCCACGGGCTGAACCAAGCGTTCCCATTTGGTTCAAGCGTCCTGAAATAGCGTAAAGCCGGGGCAACTGGGCCGTGTTGCCGCCTGCTAGGCAAGCAGAGGGTTGGAGGGCCCAGGAGTTGGATGCGAGCAACGAAGAACGTATCTCAGTTGTCCAGGCGCTACTTTTTGACTCTTGAGCTTTGGATTCCCATTTGTTTGTCGGAAGCTAGGGGTCGACCCTGGTCCACCTGGTCAACTGTGGTGGACATTTCCTGCACCAGTTGGTAGGTGGTTTATCCAGTATTTAGACGACGGCATCCATCCCAACTAGAGGGTGTTGTTCATCCGCAGTACTTGCCCGGCTGCTGGCTTCAGGACCACCACGCATTGACATGGCCGCCGCAGTGATGCAGCCGGAGCGAATTGGTGGTTGGTTGTTGTGTGTTGTGTGGCGTTTGGGTTTGTTTTGTGCTTTTGCTTGCCTGCCTGCCTGCCTGCTTGCTTGCTTGCTTGCTTGCTTGCTTGGTTGGTTGGTTGGTTGGTTGGTTGGTTGGTTGGTTGGTTGGTTGGTTGGTTGGTTGTTCTGGCGCTCGTTGGCGACAGGTTGTTCAAGAGGGTTGCAGCCTTTAACTTGTCCTTTCGTTGGTAGTGGAGCCATTCTTCCCGAGGATTGTGCAGTTGGAAATGAATCCGGCAAGATTGTCACCCATGGGTTGTGGGCCAAAGCACGGCCACTTCTGCAATAGTGCTGCTTACATGGGCCTTCAACGCCTTCATCAACTTGGGCCGTGTCACATGCGGTCAGAAAGACACCAAGAGGTTTGTTCCCACCCTCGTCAAAGCGGCTTTCAAACATGTGATGTGACCATCCCTCGCGGACCGGTGTCATTGGTCATATCGTGTATTGCGTTTCTTTTCTTTTTTAACCCGGATTGCTTCGGCGCCAACAACTCAAGACGCGGCAGTCAGGCGGTTGTGTGCGCAAAGTGAGCCCTTTGGGATGCTCAGCAGAAATTAGCGGAAGCCAGCCATGCTGCAGGGTGCCTAGTTTTAATGCAGGCACGCGTCAGGGGTCAGAGCGTTCCCGTTATTGAATCGATCCGCACTTTTCTGTAGAAGTTGGCAAAGGGAACCTCTTTGCCCAGTTTTTTACTTGGATTTGATTCATCCAACATCTGCACTTACTAAATTGTCACCTACCTGCGAACAAAACTGGAGCTCAAAGTATTTCCCAGCCAGACAATGCACCATTGTATTGGGAAGCACTGCTTCACTTCACCCGGAGTCGACGTGATCCAGGACCGAGCGATGCTGGCTCAGCGCATCCAGGGCTTCGGCAATGTGAACCCGCCGCCCCTGGAGGAGGAGAACGCCAGCGCGGAAGCCCAGGAAGCCGATGGACCCTTTGGTCGGTCCCGTGTTTGTGGGCGGATGTTGTGAGCAAATTGAACCGCCAAGGTTCCTTTCTGAAAGGCCCTATATTCCGGCTGGAGAATTATGTTTACAGGGGATCGGCTTGGAAATTAATAGCGTAGGCGCCAACTCATCATGTTGAATCCATGATTGGGCGCTGCATGTCAATCAGATGGGTGATGTTCACATTGCCATGGCACCTTACGGGGAAACGGTCCCTTCAAAGAATCTGCCTAATCTATCCTTCCTTTTGCTTGAGATGTGTTATTCGGTTGTCCCAGTTGCTTTTGGGCATTGACATGACTGATGAATAGGTCATGTGCTGTTGCACCTTCAGCAAATGGATGTAGTGCGAATTTGCATGGCGAAACGAACGAGCTTTGGCCCATGGATGAATGTCCTAGCATTGCTGGTTCCTTGTTTTGGATGTGGGATTGTGTCGTACATCGGTGCAACAGATGCATAAATCACATGGTAGCCCTAGATTATGGGAAGGTGACCCGCCATACCTCCTGCAACTTTTTAGTCGCGCCTTGGACTAAAGCTAAATATAGGGCAGGGATGTTGGCTGAGGTTTCCGATGCAAGAATTCCTTCCAGGGCAAGAGTTTTGCCACAGGTTTGCGCAGAGATGCATCTTTAGTTAGGCTGCACTATTGGTAGAATTGAATAACCTGTTGAAACGGGCACCTAGACGCTGCCCAGTCAACCCAACAACGTTGCCCTGAATGCGCTTGTCAAACTATGTGCACATGAGATATGATACAAGTCTAGGTTAAAGGCCTTGCAGCTTCAGGGCGGGTCCATTGCAAGGAATGGGGCTGCACTTCCCAGCTTCATTGCAAGTGAAAGTCTCACCGCGCAGCTGTGCACTCAAACCCCGCACGCAGATGTCCTCTAAATTGAACATTCTGAAGGGTTGGTCCAAAATCGTCTTTTGGGGGTGCTTCCCTTTAAACCTCCCAGGGTGGAGGTGTCCGCGTCCCTAGGCAACGTCGCCAAGCGCGCCGTGCGGAATTTGGGCGACATGGTGGGCGAGGAAGTGGCGCTCACGGTACAGGCGCGCTCGGATCCCAAGTTGCTGGTGATGCTGGTGGTTGCGACCTAGAGGTTTTGCTTTTCGACTGGAAGAGCATGCTAGGGGTAAACGAAGGGCCTTTTGGGGGCAATTCAATTGGCCAGTGAGCCGGCGTGAAGCTAAGTGATCGTTATTTGATTTGCCGCAACCACGACGCATTTGCCCATGGAGAGGGACATGCCAGGACGGCCCCTCTTTGCAGGACGTGGCCCAGTGTGACTTACTCAGATTGACGTTGTTTCCAGGCATAGCCAAACAAGTCTACTCACTCCTTGCCGGCTGAGTTGATTTCTGGTGCTCCAGTAAGCGTTCACAAAGTGTTCCTCATGCGGCTGTGTCTCCACATGTGGAAGCCCGTAACATGAGTGAGCCCCCCTAACATTCCAAAAACAACCCTCAAGAGGAAATGTCGAAGCCGGATGTGTGATTCAAGCAAGCAGTAGCCTAGCGTTTGCTTTTCGGAGGACTTCAAGGAGAAGGGCGCCGTGGGCGCCGTGAAGGATGCAGTGGCAGATGCTGCTCAGCTGCAAATCCGAAGCCTCGGAAAGGCTCTCCAAAGCCTTTTGCGAGCCCCTCTTAAGAAGGTTTTGCGGGGTCGTTGCTTGTCTTTCGTCACATCTATCCGTACGGACCTTGGAAGCCAGCGTGTGGAAGGGGGTGAGGAGAGGTGCCCAAGGGATATCTTCACCGCACCTCGTTGGTACCTGCGCTTGGCACGACGCAAGCTGCGGCCGTGTCGTGCGCCATGCCATGATGCGCCCCGAGGCTGGTGACATTCTGATTGACGGCGCACCTCGGCTGCAACAAGGTCTTGTGGCAAGTGATGAATGTACAGACAGCGAGTGTTGGGTGGGGATAGATGCCAATTGAGGTCTATAGTGCTTGGTCATCACATCCATGCGAGTGTCCACGGGGTATTTCTCCGCTCGTTGGGGATGGTCCCGACCGAAGCCTTATGCGGGGAAGCGTTTGCCATCCTTCTTTGCTGTTTGGGCATTTTGCATGGTAAGGGGGGGAGGGCAACAGACCACAGTTGCAAGTTGGAAAGGTTGAGCTGTGCACCCAGATTCATTCTCAAGTTAACGCAAAAACACAATCAATGATCTGTCCAAAATGGCAGTTGAAGAATGGCTTGAATGCAAAGCTGGTGCTGTTGCATATGGACACGTGTCAGCATGTGTCTCTCGCAAGGCAGTAGTAGAGTGTGTGTTGAAGGCAGGCGGAGGGTCAATTTTAGGCTGATTGACCCATCATGAAGTTTGTTGCGCCTTTCTTGGAGATGCTTTGTTCAAGTCAGCAAATGTTGTCCTCTATGTCGATGTTGGTTTCCGCGCTGCCGTTCCAACCTGTTTGGCAGCTTCCTCGCAAGCAGACGAGCTGAATGGTCGTTAGCCTGCCTCAAGTAGAGGAAATGGGCTGGCCCTGACCTTTCCCATCCCCCAACCCCAACAGTATTCGAAGAGCCTCGAAGGACCTCAGGCAGTCCCCCCTAGCCTTTGCACCCTGAAGCTGTCCAGCCCTGTCCAGCCCAGGTATCCGGCATCGTGGGCTGGTTTCGGGGGGAGCCCTTGGAAGAGGAAGAGACAGATGCCTCCAAGGACAGGTCTGCCAACTTGTCAACACGGCATTTGCGGACCCACAAGAAACCGTCGGCTTGGATCACAACACGCATCGGAAAATTGCTTGAATCTCACATAAGTCTGTTGGGCTAAAAGCACGCTTTGGACTTGGCAAGGACCTCAAACATACCGCGCAAAGGCTGTTCGACTTGGCCAAACATTCAGCGTGGTGGCTGTATCTGGGGTCTGTCGTGTGTTGGTGGAGCAAGGTGAGGTTGGAAACCAACATAAACCTCTTACATCCTATCACCGTACCCTTTTTAGTTTGGCACATGACATAGGTCAGACGTCCTGGCGTTCTGAAGGTATCCAAGCACAACTGCCAGATGATTGCAGGCTTGGCACAGTAAGACAAGCTTGCTCATGATGCCTCTTTCTTCAGACAGCCTCTCAGGGAGAAGGGCTTGACAACTGAGTCTCATTGGGGCAAGGCTCGCTTGCATCTAAACCCCCCTTTTGTCCAACATTCCAAGCCCAATTTGCCATTCCCCATGTGCTGGATGTATCTTTGGCGGGTGCATTGTGGGCTGGATTCTCCCGAATCTCCCTTGCAGGATGCGCAGAAGGTGTTGGCCAACGGCCCCAGGCCGCAAGACATGTGTTGCGTCGTGCACGGAGACCAGGGCACGTTGGGGGGAGACGGGGCGACGGTTTGCAACTCGATCTTAGGTTGGAGGCGTATACTGGCTTTTGAACCTGAAATTGTCTTCGGCCCAGGGTTGGCGATGGACATTTGACAGATTGGATGATGGAAGCCAACCTCCCGACCCCGTCTCACCTCATCAGATCACGCTTCATGCAAAAGAGATTTGTCCTAGCCATTTGGAAGTCCATGGGCACTACCTTGTAGAGTTTCGTGCGGGTGTCGGAACGCATTGTGTCAAAACATGCAGTGGGGCGCGTTGCCTAGTTTGAATCAGAAACCAAACAGGAAGCCAAAAGCACCTGCAGGGGCCACACCCGTTGTCCTCCCATCAAGCCGCAGGGGCGCAGCCTACGGGGTGTCGCAAGCCTCACCCTCCGGGGGCATCAACGCGGTGTGGGTGATGCCGGAGGAGCGGCACGTCAAGCCATGCGCGGCCAGCACTAAGCCCTAGCCATGTCACATGTAACAGAGTACAAAAGCCGCCGGCAAATTGGAATCCGAGATGTACACCCTTCGACCCTCCTCAAACCTGGAATTGGGGGTGGGGGTTCCAATCTCCCTGCGGCGGGGCATCTCGCAAATCAATCCAAAGGACCCGCTCCCAAGGTGGCAGACCGCAGCCTTCCTCCATCCGCCAGGAGGCGGACCCCTCAACCCTCGCAGAGCTGGCGCGGCAGCCACAGACAGGGAACCCCGCCTACGCCGGGGCCCCAGTTCTGGCCATGAGCGAATGGGAGCCGGGAAGCTCCATGTTTCAAATGGTGTCTCTGTTTTGGCGGCGCGGCTCCTATTCCTTGAACTTTGTTTCAATGTGGCTGAAGTGTGTTTCTTTGTTTCTTGCTTCAATGTGAACCATGTTTCAATATTCCTTTGAACTTTGGAGCTTTATTTGGTTCCGAAGTGCTAGAAGCACGTGCCTGGGTGCGGAGTGAAGACGGGCGATGTGTTTCCAGGCAGATGTTCAGCACCTAGGCGCCCTCCAACATTCAGCCCTACCAGGGACCCAACCGCGGGAACGTGCCGCGAGGGCCTCAGCTCCGGATATACGGCGTGATGTGCAAGGCTCTTCTGCCCTTTGTGTCATCTTGCTTCAAGCGACCCAGAAAGAAAGTGGCCTTGTTGCAGGTCGAAGTTGGGCCAAATGTGTAGGGCCCCTAGAGATCGTTGGGTGCTTGAAAGCAAGCCATGCTTCGGGGCCAACAATTTGTGCTTGATGCTTCAAGGAAGACATGGAGAATCCTGCATGCTCAGGGCTCATGATTCGCCCTGCCAAGGAGCATGATGCCCCAGATGCCTCAGATGCCCAACATGCCTCAGCGCTTGCCCAACGGCATTGAGATCGCGCCGTACCAGCCCAATGCTTTTGGGCCAGGCGAGGAAGACATGTTTCAAGCAGAAAATGTGTTCTGAGACCTTGGATGTGGTCTTTGCATGGCTGAGGTCACACATCAACCGGAAGTCATAACCATGCAAGCCAGGGCAACAATGTGTGTGTTTCTTCCAAAAAGCCAGCATGCGGCCATGTTTTCTCCCTTTCCTGGATACTTTGGGCTTGCCATAGCGGGTGCGAAGGAAAGCGACTCCCTCGATGGCAGTAGCTCAAGCTGCTTCCAGGTCCAGGTTGCAATGCTCGCCCAGGGTGTTTTGTGTTGGCACCTTCATCCCGCACGCTGACGTGCAGGTTCCGACCAGTGACATGAGATGGCCGTGGGACAAAACCAATGGTACCATTTTGGGGTAGGTGCACCACCCATTTCTATTTTAGTGGGGATTGGGATGTTCACTGGGGGTACGGGATTTTGACCCATGGCCACATGTGGAGTGAGGGGTCAGGTGCCAAAGGCCACGGAAAAGCAGCCAGCCGGTGCCAGGCAGATCTGCCGCTCCCTTCACACCGGGCCAGTTTCAAGGTGCGGGCACATGGTGTCACCCTTTTTGGTGGCGATTGAAAGTGGAAACCAAAGGAAGGTCCCTTTTGTGGTGGCTTCCCTATTTCAAGACCAACCCAGCTAGGTTTTCATGAGGCACCACACAATCTTGTAGAGCCTTTGAGAGGGCTGATTGGCTGCCCTGTCGTGCTGTTTTCCAATTCTTGAGGCTGCGCACTTTGAGCAGCGAAATCGTTTTCTTGGGCTGGTGCGCATGAGGGATGTTCGGGGAACATGCCCTGGTGTTTGTGTCTGTGTCTGTGTCTGTGTTTGTGTTTGAGTGCGCGCAGAGGGCCGTTCACACAACCTCGAGTTGCATGTGCTGTAGCGACATGTTGGAAAAGCATTGCAACTGTTGAGAAGCTCAAATTTCGAATGAAGGAACAGGGCATGTTGCCTCTGAGGGGGGACATTTCATGGCTCCTAAGACGCTCTGGTAACTTCCCGTTCCAATCCATTTCCAAACTAAGAACACCCAGGAAGCCAGGGAAGAGGTGGACATCCATAAAGCTTTTTCAACTGCCTGCCTGCCAGGGCACGCGCCCTTCGTCCCGGGCGGTCAGTTCTCAGGACTGGCCGACTGGGGGCGAACCTCAGTGACTACCTCCAGATGACCAATCTGCCTGACTTCTTTTTTGCCAGCCCAAGCAGGGGCCGCTAATGACATCAATTCACTTTGCCGTTTGCCAAGTCATGCGCAAGCAGAAATCACCGCGCCCGCTATAACCTGCCCATAGTGACTGTTGGGGAGGCGTTGCTTTCCATCGCTGGTTTGCAAATAGAATTTGGAGGAAAGCCAAGGATTGGAGGAGTTCCGATCTTACAAAAAGCACGGCTTCCGGGTGCATCCGGCTTGGCAGATACAACAGGGATGGCGCTTGAAATTGGAAAGCTCTGCAATTCTGGACAGCAGCCCTGGCAGTTGTTTGGTGCCGTCTTCTGGCTGTGCTTTATGCACACGAGCCTAGGGAGATTAATTGCTGATACCACCCTCGTACGAACCTAGTTCTATCAGGAACAAGTACGTGAGCCACCAGGAGAACTTCTCAGAAAAGTTCAGCTTGCTCAAACTGCAATTTTGAAAGCTGCCAGCTCGGCCTGGGATTTGGCTAGGGAACCTTCCTTCCATGCTGCTCCGAACCTCCCCAACCTGTGATTGCAGTTCGAAAAGGCAGGCCTCAAAATGCACTTTGTTGGCAATTTACCTGGGTGAGGGCGGGGCAGGTGAGAGTGCAGGTGGGCATGGTGGGCTTTGCTTTACAGGTGGGTTTTTGGGGTGCTTCGCTGGCTTCGCCAGGACCCGGCTCGTTCAACCCTGCCTATGGCGGATACGGCGGGCAGCAGCAGGCATGGCGCACATGTTGCTCATGGACTGGCGAGCCGAAAGCAAGCCATGCGTAGTTGCCAATGTGTGCCTTGTGTGTGAAGAAGTAGTGCTGTTCGACAAGTGCCTGAAGATATCACAGCACTTTGTGTGCTTTCTCATTCGCCACGGATGATGGTTGAAATGATGTAAGATGCAATGAACCCACTCTTCGCCAGGGCGTTTGACCTAGTTTTGTGAGACCCCAGATGGCCAAAGCAGGTTTCCAACGCATGCCTTTTCTGGGCCCACGGCGTGGTGCTTGGGGCAACCGGCGACTTGCTAGTCTCAATCTGGAAGCAGGCTGCCCTTCAAAACGACCAACTGGAATGAAGGTTCCGGGTTCCTTCCTCCATCACGTGGTGTTTCTCTTGCAAAAATCGAGCAAGAAGGGCCGGGTTGTTTTCATCCCATGGCCACAGCACTGGCAAAAGGCATGGTTTCCCTTGAGCGGATCTTGCGGTGGCAAAGGGCGATGACAAAGGTTTCAGCTTGTTCTGAGGCTGAAGCTGACAGTCTTGCCTGAGTCGCGAATCGCCTCCTTTGCCAGGCAAACACTGGCAGTGGCCCCAAAGGCCGCAGGGGCTCCTTCCACATGTTGGGCTTGAGCCATCCATACCTCGGCCCTAGTAGCCCCATGCGTGCCAGAGGCACCTTCAAAGGTAACAACTGGAATCCCGAGGAATGTGTCCTCTGCCGAGGGGGTTGTTTTGCCGTTTGCCCCCACCCACCCACCCTCCCCAGCGGCTTACAGTTTTGGGTTCGTTGGTTGATCAATTTGATTTGATCAACGCAATTTGGTTAGAGTGAATTGGATTGGGTGGGTTGGTTGTTTGAACGAAGATAACAAAATGGAATTAAAGAATGAACGGAAGAATGGAAGGAATGAATGCATGCATAGTGGATGAATGGAACGGAATGGAATGAATGAAATGAACGATTGAATGATTGTTGGTATTATAATAAATGATGGTTGTTTGCTTGGCTGTTTGCAATTGCCCTGAGCCGTGTTGCGAGCTGTTGACACAAGTGCAGAGCGGTATCGACATGCTATGCAGATATCAGCTGACGCAATGCCCGAGAGCAATATTTGAGAAATTCTTCAGACATGAACCATCAACATTGGGCAAGATGACCATCCAAAATTGCGGAGTATGGCTGCTTCTGCTTTCAAACCACCCCATGGGCACCATACTCTACAACCGCGGCGAATAAATTAATCAGAATCCATGTTGATCAGTCCCTGCTGCCTGCGTTAGCAATTACGGCAAGACAAACAAGTGAAGCATGATGTTCGCGAAGGACTTATGCATGATCGTGATGGCTTTCAAAGAGAGTTGAGAGTTGGATTTGTTGTGCGGCGTGTTTGGCATTCGTATCCGGCGCCAAACGCGGTGGCGCTACCGACTTGGTAAGCGTTCTCACGGACCAGTGGTTGCCTGTAGAATAATTGTGTGGCGCAAGAATTCGACAGAAACTTATTTGGCTGTGCTTTCCAGCATTCCGTCATCACAAGACACAAGCCCACTGCTGCGTTCCCCCCTCCAAAATGAGGAAAACAAAGGGCTGGGAGCCAGGCCTCATCGAGCGTGTGGCCAAGGGAGACGCATTGCCGGGCAAGGAGGCCAGTGAGAGTGTTGTCCACTTGAATAGCCTGAGGTTGCCTGGGTGTGCTTGATTCACCTGGACCCCCTTCATGTTGCAAGTAAGGAACACAGGGAACTGCTGTGGCTTGCCGCGATTTACAGGGGTCTTGTGGTTGGATGTGGTTGGCTCAGGGAAATCAACCGCGTGAAGCCCACGTACCCTTGGCTTTCCCAAGTGTCCGTTCATGTTGGCAGGTTTCCTGGGGTCCCAATCGTGCATCTCAGCTTGATGCACTCTCCAGATGGGTGTGAAGCTGTAGTTCTGGGAGGTGAGCTGGGCTCAATGGGGCGAGCCTGTGCCCTTTGCAAGCCCACGTATCATGCCCAATCTGTGTCGAAATGCCTTGGGTTTAAGTCGAGCAGGAAGCCTAGCGAGTTGGGCAGAAACAGCTTGCCTGCACAGCAGACAACGTTGCGCCATGGTGGATCCCATCCACGAGCAAAAGAAACCGGTTGCCGAGTTCGGCCAATTTCAGCAGAAGCTTTCAGCTGCAAAAGCAGCACAAGCTGCCAC